CAGGTATGGTAGGCTATTAAGATCGGCAAAAAAAAGTTTTTTTAATTTCACTCAAAATGAGTTATTTGGGTCATAAATGACCTAAATACAAAATATTTTCATGGTGTTTGTCTGTCCGTCTGTCCGTCTGTCGGTAACACGATAACTCAAAAACCGCTAAACCGATTTTAACCAAATTTGGCACGAAAACGCTATGGCACCCCTAATCTGACCATTAGTTTTTGGTGGGGTGGGGGGTTGGTAAGGGGTATGTGAGGGGGTTAAAAATTTAAAAAAAATAGTAACTCCAAAATTACAGCAGCTAACCAAACGCGGTTTTCAATTTAAGATTAAGAATAATATTTGCAACAAAATTTGTGATAACATCAACTCTCATACAACAGAATCTTTTACTTTTAATTTAGAAAGAGTATTAAAAAGTCAAATAATGTAGCTAAAATTGCTTAAAAATCATCAAAATAGGCACACTAGAACAAAATATATGAAACTTTAAAATACATCAATATTTTTTTTGCCGGTGAATCTATTTTAGAAGCAAAGAAAATAATTTTAAAAGCTCATTATTTATAATAGTTAATTATCTTGTAATTAGTGAAACTACAAAAAGTACAAAATAAATAAAAAACTACGTAAAGCATGTGCTAGAAACCAAATTTTTAGGCGTTTACGGATTTCTAAACCCTTCGATTTCTAAACTTTCTTTTTTCAGTTCTAGAACATAAAGGGCCTTTTTTACTTTTTACAAGTTCATAGAATTTTTTCGCATTCATTTAGAGCAAAAGCGCAGTTTTTATGAGGGTGTACAATTTTGCGATTTTTTTTATTGCAGTCAGCTTCGGTCTCAGTTTGAGCTTGTGGTCAGTATTTAAAAAAACAGCTCCGATAAGGTTGGAGTTCTAGAGTCAACAAGTTAGGAATTTAATTTAATTTGATAGAGTTTTATATTAATATGTAATTAGGAAATTTAAACAAAATGGGGGACATATATACAGGCTGTTTAAAAAAACATGTACCATCTCTCGTGAGGAGATTCCTCATATTAACATAGTTAATAAAAAATGTCTATATCTATGTGGCGTATTCATCTCTCCAAAAAAATCCACTGCAAGAAAATCTACAAAATAAAATAGTTATTTTTGTAAACACTTCTGCGTTAAACCTAAACGGACACTGCTTGTCAGAAGTTATGTTTACAGTTATACAAATTTGCCTAACAAAGAAAAAAATGCTTAACGTTTCGGAAAGTTTATCTCTTTCCGTCGTCGGAAACAAAAAAATACAAAGAATAAAGAAAAAAATTATTTAAAATATTTAAATTCAACTATTCGAGAACACTTTACTTTTTTTAAGACAGATACGTCTACAAGAAACCGTTGACATTCTGTTAAAATGACATTATGTCAAGTTAAACCTCAAAATTAACAATTACTACCTGATAACAATTACTCAATAAGGTAAAACCAAAAAGCTCCAAACTTTCTGTATGATTATTTTTAAATTTTACGTATGTTATGTTTATTTATGTTGTGTTCTTTAAAATAAAAGAAGCGATTGCCATACATTACTAACATCTACAAATGCCTGAGCAATACATTTATTTTTATTATAGATTGAATTAAAAAAGCCTCTCTTATTTTTCTTTCAGAGACTATCGCTTCTTTCATTAACGCCAAAATTATAATGTGGAGATATTTTTAGAGACAATTGGTGAATTTCTGTTTTATTCTGATTTAGTTAGGTTAGGTTGTAATTGGAATTTCATGTTGGGCTAATAAAGTATTATTATAAAATCGAAACAATACATTCTGAATAATAAAGTATTTTAATTTTTTTTGGAAAAAATATTCTTTCTCTAATAATCTGCCATATTATATCTAATAAAAACTTACGCTGTACTTAAACTGCCGTTAAACGGTAGCCTATTGAAATGCCGTTAATAGATATGATGTCGTTGATGTGACGCACTTGACGGCTTTTTAATGCTTTGGTTAAAATGCCGTCGAACGTTCGCATACTAAAATGCCGTTAATCAATTTGTGTTTCGTTTTCCGTTGCCCTTTTGGTATGTTTTTTTCGTCGCGTGTGCACTATTATTGTAGTAACAATTTGTGCTAAGTGCTATAAGTTGATTTTAATTAAGGTGTACATCTGGATATTATCGGTTCAGGATATTCAGTTAGTTTTCTGATTGCTAATTTATCTATAAACATTTTTAGGTTAGTTAGGTACCTAATTATTTTTCATGGCTGAAATTAGCATGCTGAAAATTGGGGATAGGTTCAGCTCATTCGCTGACGCAAAGAAAGCGATTGAGGAACTTGGTGGAAATACGTACACAACATTTTGGAAACGAGATGCCCGTACGATTGCAAGCAGTAAAATTGTGAGACCAATAGAAAGCTCTTTGATTTATTATCAACTTCTATATGCATGTAATCCCGGTGGAAAGAAGTTTAAGGGCAGTGGGAAAAAAATTCGACAGTCTAGGACATTTAAAGAAGATTGCCCAGTACATGTAAGATTCAAAGCATCGTCTGATGGAAAAGCACTCGAGGTCATGTCACTTCGAAGGTAAATTTACAGATTAGTTGACATATAGTATGCTTTTAGAATTCTTGCTTGAACAGTATTTTATTCATAAAAGATATAATTGGTAGGTTCTACATGCACATAACCTTAGCCAAAGAAAACTTTCCAGTAACATGAAGGAAAGCGTCAAGGATTATTTGAATATGAAGGCCAATAGAAAAATGATACAGCAAAAAGTTCAAGAAAGTACTGGTAAAATTGTTACTTTACAAGATTTAACAAATATGAAGATATCCGATCAATCAAGAAAAGAAAACTTAGATGGCTGCTTAAATATACTTAAAGCTAAATACGGTAAACTAAAATATTCTATTATCGTCTTATTAGTCCCAATAACTACTCTGTTTTCAGGTGCCGATGTAGCTGTTTGCGAGACGAAGACAATAATTTCAGAGGACTTTGCATTCAAAGTCCAACCATGAAAAAAGTACAATGAAGGCTTTTCCAGAATTTCTTGCAGTAGATGCTATATATAAATTATGATGATGCAGTTGTATTTGAAATTAAAAATCAGTCTTCTGTGGAACACTCTGAGGTTCGTGACGAGACGGACCTTCAAGACAGAAACAATATGAGTGAAGCGCTCATATTAGATAATAAAAATACATCAACTCTTGGTCAGTCACCTGTGGAAGCACCTGAGTTTTGTAACGAGCTGGTTATAGAGGAGGAAATGACACGAGATGAAGCGCATCAACTTTCCTATATTAGTGATTCAGTTTTAAATGACGTCAACAACCAGTCCCATCAAATAGTTGAAGTCAATGATTTCGCTTTGACAACAATTAAGATGCCTGTTTCAATAAAAAAAACGAGAACGTCCAAAAGGACAGGACTTAACAGTCATAGGACTACCAAAGAAAAAGAAAAGATGTACTGTAGCATTTGCTAAACAATCATGAAAAACAAAATGTTATCCTGAATTGCTTTGTTAAGGATCGTAACATCGTTAGAGACATCACAAATGGGAAATTTCTTGAAACTGTAGACCTTAAAATGCTCCCTGAAGAAATATCACATGCCGTTCTTGATGAGGCTGTTGATATCCACATGATAAGGTAAGTCTAGCGATACCTAATAATTACCAAATTAATAACTAATAATGTAAATTACGATTTTTAGAGGTTTTTGCACCGAGAAAGCCTTTGAAAAAATAACCAATCTAGTTGAGCAGAAACGACTTCAACAAAGTTGGTTTTGTTATGTGTGCAGTGAAGACACGCAGAAAAATCATATGTAACTTTGTTGCAGTAGATGCCTTCTATGGAGACATATCCGTTGTGCAGGATTGCGACTAAGCGACCTAAATCAAAACTGTGGTTTTGCAGAGAATTCTATCTGTAGCATCACTATTTTTAAGTTGACGTAGTATTATTTTTAAGTTGTCAGTTTATAATTTGCAATAAAAACCTTAAAACCAATGCCATATATTACATTTTATCGCAAATACATTTTCAAACCTACAACGGCAACATATACATACGTCTACCTACATATACACCGTTCCAAGTTAATTTTATTCAGAATAAGCCATGACGGATTTTGGACAACATTACATTACAAATTATTAAGTAGTAATCAGTAGCCTACTCTGCATTAACGATTAACGGCATTTTAGTACGCGACCGTTGGACGGCATTTTAACCAAAGCATTAAAAAGCCGTCAAGTGCGTCACATCAACGACGTCATACCTATTAACGGCATTTCAGTAGGCTACCGTTTAACGGCAGTTTAAGTACAGCCAAAAACTTATAGATTATCTAGGACTGCTCCTCTAGCTCTCAAAACTCGTTTTTTTGTGGAACCGTACTGCAACTTTCTAACGGTACATACCTGAGGTTCGAGAAACTACCCTTTCAGCAATATCTGCAAAAATGCGGAAGACCGCCTACAAATAGGAGGGGATGGGGTTATAACAACCCTCTGCAAATAGTTTAAGGGTAATTCCATGAAGAACATTGACGGACTTCAGCAGATCCCTAAAATTTCTCCAATATCATAATACCAAGAAGTGTTAGTGTCCGCAAATAGTGTTTATAGTTGTAAATTTTGTGTTGTTTGTGTAATCTGTGGAAAATGAACATGGTAAGGCTATAACAAGTTTTTTTTATCTAAGTAAATATTAAATACAAATACATTTAAGTAATTATTATATTTAATTAATATTTACCTAGATATTTACATAAAGAGCTAATTTTTATATTTTTTTGAAATATAAAAATTAAAGAAAAACAGTGTAGCACTTAAAAGCAGAGGCATTTAAAATGATTTCCCTGTACATTCCTTTATATGGGGTACTATCTTTTGAGGAAAAAAAGAACAATAAAATAAAAAAGAAATTAATCGTTTGGTCTTAATGCGAGAAATATAAAAAAAAACAACGGCGATAATAAAGATACGTTGTTCCGCCGCGTTTTCACGTGAATATTAAATATCAGTACTGATTCTGTTTCTGTTCACTGTACTTGGTTTGTTAACTGTTAGTAGAATGTTCGTGTTAAGTTATAACATTCAATGACTAAATGTTGTAAGTTACACAATTTTTTATATAGTTTTAATTATTTTTATATTTTTTTCTTTCATTCATAAGTGATTGACCTTTGATGAAATGTGCTAGGGAACAAATTTTATAGTTCTTTTTTTCTTTCTTTCTTTTTTTTGTGTAATAATATGAATTAACCTCATCTATTTATAGCTATTATTGTAGTTACTCCTGAAGAAGTTAATAAAAATTAACGAAATATCGAGTTAAAAGACAAATTAGTTTAAATTGAATCTACAGACCACTACCAGATATTGTTCCACATTAAGTATATTTACTCACATCTTAGGATTATATAAAGTTTGGTTTGGGTGAGAAAGAAGCCAAAATGCAATACAGGGTGTTACATTTAAAAAAAAATATCCCGATCCACTTACACTTTTTTGCGCTACCCTATAGAAGTTAAAATATTTTCCTGAAATACATCCTCGTATATTCTTTAAGTTTGCATTTAAACAAAATTCCCAAGTGTTTTATTTTAGGAGTTTATTGTATAAACCTTAATGATTATACAAAATAATAAGAAAGATTAATATTTTTTTAAACGATTATAAATTTAAAATGCTGATATAAAAATTAAAAAACTTAAAAAAGGCATATTAGCTTTACTAGTAATTATCTTAGGTAATAAAAAGTTACATATCTTTTAGACCAGTCGACAAGTGGTTTTAGGTGGAAATAATTAGGGGCAACCTGCAATCTGCAAAAACACTTATTCTCTTTGTTTTGCTTTGTTGAATACTCTACTAAATTTGGCACGGGCTATCGATCCCAGATTTGGCAGCCATATTGGAAAATCCTGTGAAATTACGACATTTTTATATATTTTTTTTAAATAACTCGATCTGGGTGCACTGTACAGAAAATTTGCAAGAGACCAACAAGAAAGCTATAAAATTCTCTATAAAAAAGGTCCTATTCACCGATGTCGTGCATGAACAGGTTAACGAGATACAGGCGCTTAAATACAAAGCATATATTTTCTAGTGGTTCATTTAATATGAGAAACCGATTCTATGTAAATTTGAATAATTTGCCAGTACAAATTTGTGTTTTTCTTGTGCTCGTTTCCACACCACCTGGCGGTAGAGCACTCGGCGCACTTTTTTTAAGTGGTTTCCCCTATAGGCTTAATCCACTTTCTTGCCGTTGCAAATGTTCTATTTTTATATCCATATGACATGATATTTGCTTTATAAGTATGTATTTTCACCGTCTGCTTTTTTTTTGACGTAGAAGGTTTTCATCAAACTGTTCATCTGGTTCTTGTTCAATGTCTATATGTGTCTTCGATATTTTCGTTGGTCATCAATTCTTCTAATCGAGAATCGATTTCTTCGTCGTCCCCTGGATCGTCTAGAGTTATTTCAGAATTTGAACACGCTCTTCCTTGGCACGAATCGCACACTACCGAATAGTGCAATCCTGCTTTTTTGCAGCTGCAGGCTGCGTTGCAACCTTTTATGCATTTACAAGAAATCATCTTGAATAATTTTTCGGGAGCGGCGTCTTGCAGCATAGGAATCGGTATAAGTCCATTGGACGACTGCTTCCAACCCCAGTCAGTGGGTATTTTTTCGTTACCGTACATTTTTGGACTTGTAGATCTGTACGAAATGAGTGGATGCGAGCCGCATCTTCGGTTGGAGGAAGGGATGCAAGATTTAACGCTAGCGCACATTAAGATGTATTTAAAAATAAGCCTTAGATGTTAATTGCTATAACTTTAGAACTGATAAGTTTACGGGAATAATTAATAGGACCTATTTTGTAGAGAATTTAATTTGCTTTATTTTTGGTTACCTACATTTTTTTTCTACAACGCACCCAGACCGAGATATTATAAAAAATCCATAAAAATGTAGTTTTTTTTCGACTTTTTCAAAATGGCGGCCAAATCCGGGATCGACAGACCGTGCAAATTGGATATATTATTCAGCACATCAAAACAAAGAAAATACAAAATAAATCAGCTTGCTCCTAATTATTTCCACCTAGGCGTATTTAAAGCGACGGACGTACCGACTGGCCTATTTGATCTTTTTCTATTTTATAGTATTACTTTTATATTTTCGTTTTCAGATGCACCATCCATATCAAACGGCACCGAGCTACAGCCCTTTGAAAATACCAACAATACATCGCCCTATGCCATACTACCCTTATTCTATTAATCATTATACGCCTTATATACCTCTACCACCAGAACCAAACGTATTGGATTTATCCAAAAAGACTTCCTTGTCTCCAAACTTCAGTCGGCCTTCTTTAAGTCCACAATCTCTCAATAATTCACTCTCTCCTCCAAGACCTTGTGAATCTATCAGTAACTGTCAATTAACACCTCCGTTATCTCACCACTCCGATACTACTCATATAATGGATCACAGTTCTTTAGAACCAAAGAGTCCAAGTTCTGCTTCTGCTTCTTCTGAAACTCGATCTGAATTATCTGAATCTTCAGTTTCTCCAAAATCAAATGCTTCTAGACCCTTTAAAATATTACCCAAAGATTCTTTGACTTTGGCTCTGCAAGGCATTTCGCACATAGATCCATCATCTCTGCTATGCGATCAAGAACTCGGCGCCGAACTGACAAAGGAACTTATCGAAGATTCTGTCAAAAAATATAACGAGTTTAGAAAGAGAATGTTGGAACAGCTGCAATCTCCTGGAAATGTTACAAACTCGAATATGCGAAGGGTCCAGAATAATGCGGATAAAATTCAAGATTCAGAGTATTTGGAGAAAAGGAGGAAGAATAACGAAGCAGCTAAAAGATCGAGGGATGCCAGGAAGAACAAACAGGATGAAATTGCTATCAGGATGGCTTTCTTGGAGCAGGAGAACCTGCTTTTGAAATTCAAGATTAAGACAGAGGAAGAACATTTAGATCGGTTGAAAAACTTGGTTCAGTCACGAAAATGATCTTTATAACATATTTGTAAGTAATAATACAGGGTGTCCCAGGCTGAGCGTGCATTAGCTCTGGAATTTTTTGCACATCATAGTTTCACAACGAGATCTATCGATTAAAAATATAATAAATATACCGGAATTTGACAGCAACTTTCTAATTTTGAATGGGTGCTACCATTTTTTATTACATACTTAAATTTTATGTAAAAGTTTATGAATTTTGATATTAAACACTCTATACCTAACATTAACCGTTTTTGAAAAAAAACATTTAAAATTTTTGAATGACAAAAACTGCCTGTCAAAAATATGTGTATAGTGGGGGCACCCATTTAAAATAAGAAAGTTGCTGTCAACTTCCGGTATTTCCGGAAGTGCCGCCATATTGAAAATATTTTTAACCGATAGATCTCGTTGTAAAACAATGATGTGCAAAAAATCTCTGATCTAGATATTGTGGTTCTCTAGAAACTTCTAATGCACGCTCAGCCTGGGACACCCCGTATATACAGGGTGTTTCAAAACAAATGCGAAAAACTTTAGGGGGTGATTCCTTGTTCAAAATAAAGGGTAGTTTGCTTTATAAACGTTGGGTCAAAAGTCAACCATTAGGGAGATATCGCGCTACAAAGATGGCGGAAAAATAATGTTTTTATTTTTTATCTTGAAAACAAAAAGAGATAGACTAATGAAATTTTATGGAAGCATTACTGTTATGAAAACACACTTTCTGGTAATTTTTTACTTTTTTAAAATGAGTGGAAGGGGTTGAAATAAACTACCCCTATCATTCTTGTTAACGAAGTTTAAAGAAAAATCTTATCAAACACATGCAAATGCTTTAATTTGGATAGTCTAGTTTGTTTAGAAACTTTTTTATCTCTTGTATTTTTTTGATAAAACTCACCGATTTGAAATTAAAAAATAAAATGTAAAGCATTACATGTCAGGACAAAAAACATATTCTGATAAAGAATCTAGTGGGCTGCTGTATTTTTTTTAGGAAAAAATATCCCTAATATTATTTTACTTGACATTACTCTACTGCAATACGTTATTATCTAGATGATTATTATTATCGTTATTATCACTAGATTCTTAATCTAAAAATGTTCTTTGTCCTGACATGTAATGCTTTACATTTTATTTTTTAATTTCAAATCGGTGAGTTTTATCAAAAGAACGCAAGGGATAAAAAAGTTTCTAAACAAACTAAACTATACAAATTAAAGCATTTGCATGTGTTTGATAAGATTTTTCTTTAAACTTCGTTAACAAGAATGATAGGGGTAGTTTATTTCAACCCCTTCCACTCATTTTAAAAAAGTAAAAAATTACCAGAAAGTGTGTTTTCATAACAGTAATGCTTCCATAAAATTTCATTAGTCTATCTCTTTTCGTTTTCAAGATAAAAAATAAAAACATTATTTTTCCGCCATCTTTGTACCGCGATATCTCCCTAATGGTTGACTTTTGACCTAACGTTTATGAAGCAAACTACCCTTTATTTTGAACAAGGAATCACCCCCTGAAGTTTTTCGCATTTGTTTTGAAACACCCTGTATAATAAATAATTCTATAAATATTAGTATTTTTGATATTTAAATCGAAATCATCTTGTGATTACTGTGAGCTCTCTCTGAACTTTTATCATCGCAATTTTTTCTTTGTTTTCAGGTGTTATCACAGATAACATAGTTATGCTATCTGTGGTATTATAAAACATAGAACAAGCAACAAGGACAACTTCTATGGCGTTATGAAGTTTCTCCATCAATTTGTTGTTCTATACCGTACTGTTTATATTGACCTCTTCATATCTTTATGAGTACTCCTACGTGGAGCGAAGTTTTCAGATTTTCACACAATCTACAAATTCCTTTTAAGAAACTTTAGACCTAGGTAAGATTTAAATTATTTTTAGAATTGTATTTTCTTTGCGTAATAAATAAGTTTAAAGATGCGCAAATTATGCGCAGAAGTTGCAAAATAAAACTATATCTATGCAGTATGTTCTCGGATCATCGTTACGAGAGGAAATTTTTTCCCCCAATATCCACTGTCCCAATACGAGCCCTAACAACTATATGTTGGGACAAGGTCAATTTGTTAAAACGACTCAATTTATTTTGTTTATTATTCTAAATTCAAACATTACAATATGATCTAGACAATTTTACTATATTTTTACAACTTTGCAAACAAATCGCTTTTGATAATACCTTATTTTGCCAAAATCAAGCCAAATTTGCTGACAGCTATATATTGGGACAGCACAAGAAATTTGTTTAATACGGAGTTACATCACCTTTCGCCTTAACAACTGCCTGAACTCTTGGCATTGTATTTACCAAAGATTGGCACATTTGAGGAGAAAAATTATCCCAAATTTCCTGCAGTTTTGTCCGCAAAACAAAAATTGTTCGTTGAGGGTGATTTCTTAAATATTGCTTCCAGACTACTTGCAGGATGGGATGGAACTTTTATATTATTATTACCGAACCAATTTTTAGTTGATTTTGCTGAATGGCACGATGCTCCATCTTGTTGGAAAATATAGGCTTCGTTTGGAAACAATTCTAGAGCACTAGGCAAAAGTCAGGTCTCAAGTATATGTTGATATTTTTGGGTGTTAACAGAGCCATCTATAAAATTTAATTTGCCCAAACCTCTTGCTGACATGCAACCCCAAACCATAATCCCCTTAGGAAATTTAACAACCCTCTTCAAGCAATCTTTATGAAAGGCTTCTGCTTTATTTCGTATTATTCGTTTTCGATGATCTCCCACGCAAACATCAAATTTAGACTCATCACTAAATATGACATTATTCCAATCATTTTATGTCCACGATAATTTAGATTTTGTTCAATTTTAGCGATTTTTCTTTTGAATTCCTGTCAGTAGCGGTTTTTCTTCGGCCTAAATAAGAATTTGTATCAATAATCTTCAGGTAATTGATTATCCACACAAAATAAATTTACCTTGTAAAACCCCAGACCGCATTTATGGATACATTTTCGGCAACATTCTCTTGATATATTTAAACCAGTTACAGTATTCCATTTAACGTTACTTCGCGAAGAGTACTTCTTCTCGCAGACTTGCAAAATTTTACTACATTTTGTCTCTCTGAGATACAACTTTTGGCCTTCCCGAACTTTTACCTCTAACGTCTACATTGGCAGATTCGCCGTATTTTTTTATTATTTTAAAGACCGTGGTTTTTGGAATACTTAAATCATCAGAAATTTTTCGAATTGTTTTTCAGATACTGTATTGACGAATGATAATTTCGCGTATTTTTGGATTTGTAGCTTTTCCACGGACCATTACATTGAATTAAATTAACAAAATTGAAAATATTAAAAAAATTAAAATTACTTACAGTAAATCTCACTACTAGAGATCTGCACGGGCCGGGTAGCCCGAACGGGCCTCAAGCCCGGCCCGGCCCGAGGCCCGGGTTCGGGCCGGGTCGGTCTCGAACTGTCAATAGGGGTCGGACCCCGGGCCGGGCCGGTTCCGCACTTTAAAAAAACACAACTTTGCTTCTGTACATGTTCTTGAGACACCTTGTATTATAACAGGTATTTTTAGGCTATGTTTATGTTTACGTTTTTTTATTTTGCGTATACATACGTATATTTGTATTGTATTATTTTGATCATTTTATTTTTAATGGTTCGCCGAGCCGGGCCGGGCCGGACTAGTTTAAAGTTTTAACTTTCCACAAACCGGGCCGGGCATACAAAACCTACTTCTCTTCTCGGGCCGGGCCGGGTCGGGCTACAAAAAATCGGCCCGTGCAGGTCTCTACTCACTACTCAAAGTATCGAGTCACTTACAAGCTGTCAATGCTGAAGTAAACAGTTTGCGACATTTGTGACGTTTATAGCAAAGCCGCCTATTATGATATTAATTATTTAAAAATACTTGTCCCAACATTTAGTTGTCAGCAAATTTGTCCTTTTATGAACAAAATCCGCTACTGTAAATATGGATTGATTTACAAATTCATAAAAATATTGTCAAGTTGTTTAGGATATATGGCTATGTTTATATTTAAAAAATTAAACATATATTTTTCAGTCATTTTGAAAAACCAGGGCAATAATTCCAAAATATAACCTTGTCCCAACATATAGTTGTTAGGGCTCGTATGATGATACCACAATCAATTTATGTTTCCTTTTTTTTAGGTATACCTACTACCATAGTCAATTTGAAAAGTTAAGATATCTTTTCCAGACAAGACATTTTTTGAAACATTACCTACCAAAATCTTAAATGATCATACATTCAAGAAAACGATTTTTAACGACTTTTGACAAAACGATTTTTAGGGTTCCGTACCCAAAGAGTAAAAACGGGAACCCTATTACTAAGGCTTCGTTGTCCGTCCGTCCGTCCGTCCGTCCGTCCGTCCGTCCGTCCGTCTGTCAGAAAGATCTATCTAATGAACCGTTATAGCTAGACAGTTGAAATTTTCACAGATAACGAATCTATGTTGCCGCTATAAGAACAAATACTAAAAACAGAATTAAATAAATGTTTATAAATAATAAAGTACTTCCACTAAACATTATGTTTTAAGTAAGAATTTTACATAGAATCTTTCAAGTCCTCGGTGGCCGCGTGGTTAAAGCGTAAGGACTTTACGCTGGTATGACGTTGGAGCTGTAGTAAGGCAGGTTCGAATCCTAGTCAAGGCGACTTTTTTTAATAGTTTTTTTTTAATTTATACATATTTTTACATATTTATTTTTACTTTTTACATATTTATTATTGATTAATACAATTTTTAGTAATGTGTTTCTTCATTTTTTTTAAATTACTTATACGCGCATTCAAAATTTCAGTTAAATCGGAAAAAAAAGTTTATAATAATATAGTATCTAATGTATAAATAATGAATGGTACGGAACCCTTCGTGCGCGAGTCCGACTAGCATTTGACCAATTTTTTTATACATTATATATTTTGATTCTCATGAAGATGTAGGTAGAGGTTTTATATTTTGCTGTAAATAAAAATAACGTTAAGTGTTTTTTCTGTAAGAAGTATTTATAATGTTAGGAAATAAATTTATCTTATATTATATGTACTTAATATACAGGGTTAATCACCACATACGACACGGAGTATTGTAGCTAAACGATGAGATTTTTACAAATTGTAAGTTTTGGGTTCGATGAAGGACTATTAGAGGTACAATTTAAAAATAATTTTACAAGATACAGAGTGTCCCAAATAAATAAAAAATATCAAAGTTGTATTTTTTTAAATGGAACACCCTGTATATTATTACATTTTTAGTTTCTACGATTAAAATAAAGGTAAATTTGATTAAGATTTATTATACTTACCGTTTTTGAAATATTTTCAATTTTGTGAAATTGCAGTAAAAATTTTAAGGCTTCATTTCTCCAAGGGTATCAAAATTTTTGATACTAAATATTTACTGAAGTTTATTTAGTGATCAGTTATTGTGTAGTAATAATAAAAATAATACTACCTTATACAGAGTGTCTAAAAATTTATTTTAAATAATTATTAGCTTCAAACGGCAATAACTTGTTTAATTTAAATGGAACACCCTGTATATTTTACTAGAATCAGATGCACAATTTAATTGTCTATCAAATTATATTAAACCATTTTTTACCTATCTCTTTAAGTTTCCGTAGAAAATGCATTTTCTTGTAATTTAGAACTTATTTATCAATATACCCATGGACTATTGACATTTTAGGTCATTTTTAAAGATGTACCAAATTTTTAAAGAGTACAGATACTAATATTGTCGATATAATTCGTTTATTTCATTAAAAAATAAAAAAAAAACTGTTTAAATATTTGTTAAAGAGGACCAATTAATATGATGCCGTATTCAAACTACATTAACTGACTGTTTGCGTTGATTAATAATAATTGCTCCAAATACTAAAAAACTGAATTTTGTATGGGCATTAGATAGTGTGATAAAAAGTAACACCTTAAAAATGATATTTCATTTTTTAATAAATGCTTATTTATAACAACAAAGACTTTAATTTGATAACTTATTATTATATTGATTTCTGACTCAAAAATCCACATTTATTTATAATAATTTAATAACGAACACAATTAAGTATGTAATTAATTAGTATATGGGCGCAAATAATGGTGTTATATTTAATTAATGGTATACTCTTTTATAAAGATTTAAATAGTTTTCTTTTTGCATACAAATGGGCTAGTAATATTATCGTTTTGCTAAAAACGATAATATTACTAGTCTGTACATTTTGTACATTTGTTGCTTTAAAAACAATCTAAAATGTCAATATTCCATTGATATATTGATAAATGAGGTCTAAATTATAAGAAAATGCATTTTATACGAAAACTTGAAGGGATAGGTAAAAAATGGTATAATAAATTTGATAGACAATTTAATTGTGCATCTGATTCTCCTAAAATATACAGGGCATTCTATTTAAATTAAAGAAGTTGTTGCCGTTTGAAGTTAATAATTATTTAAAGTAAATTTTTAGACACTCTCTATAAAGTAGTATTATTTTTATTATTGCAACACAATAACTGATCAATAAATAAACTTCATTAAATATTTAGTATTAAAAACATTGATACCCTTGGAGAAATAAAGCTTTAACATTTTTACTGCAATTTCACAAAATTGAAAATATTTCAAAAACGGTAAGGTTTAAGTATAATAAACCTTAATCAAATTTACCTTTATTTTAATCGTAGAAACTAAAAATGTAATAAAATACAGGGTGTTCCATTTAAAAAAAATACAATTTTGATATTTTTTATTTATTTGGGACACTCTGTATCTTGTAAAAATATTTTTAAATTGTAACTCTAATAGTCCTTCAACGAACCCCAAACTTACAATTTGTAAAAATATCATCGTTTAGCCACAATACTCCGTGTCGTATGTGGTGAACAACCCTGTTATAAGTCAGTTTGTTATTAGAAAATATAATATTCATAGTTAATGTTACTATTTATGTATACGTAAATAAATAAATAAAAAATATAAATAAAATATATAATAATAATATATTTATATATAAATGTAAATATAAAACATAAATATATATTTTTATTTGTCTTACCCAAACCATTTTTTAAAATACCATTTTTTACCAAATTTAAATTTTTACAATTTGAGTACTTACATATGAGGGGTTCAGGACAGGAGTGAACTGAATCAAGTTCTAAAAGGTAATTATGGAGAAAATGAGAGCTAAAGTTTTTTAATGTTCATAAAAAACAATATTCTATAAACGTATAAAGACAATTATCTCAAAATAGTAGAAAATTGGACTTGATGCATTTTAATTCTGACCAAGTTCAATATCTTCATCGTTTTCTATAAATATATGAAAACAGTTTAGATGTAGCTTGGTGTATCAAGGGGCATATCCTAAAAGTTTTTTGTTGCATACAGTGTGTCTCAAAAACAAAATATGATAAAGTTTCAAGTTTCTTTTTTTGTACCCCCCATTTTTCTGCACATATTTTGATTCAGCATAATATTATGCATATAGGACGCTCCAAATATTAATTCGCTTGCTTATTCTATTACCCTTGGTGTTAATAATATATATTATTATATATATATATATATATATATATATATATATATATATATATATATATATATATATATATATATATATATATATAGGCCCTATATATAGGCCTTTATTAAATCGACGGAGTCAGACCCGGTACGTTGAAGATAGGCCGTCAGACCCGGGGTATATCGGACGAAAAATGTTCAAGCGATGCCTTCAGGCCCTGATGCTGGACCGTTTAATTTGTCCCATTTATATAAAAAATAGAGGTTTATTCGTTTTCGCCAGACCCACGACGTTGCCGCTTTTAATTCTCAAATATTTATATTAGAATTAGACGAACGGACCTTTTGAAACGGCAATTGATGACAGTGCAGAAGTAAAGACGGTGAATTTCTGCTATAATGAATATTATTGTACTTATTGTTAGTATTAGATATATTCTGTCTTATAAATGCATCTGTACGAAAGCGTTTTTATCTGAAATTTCTTTAAAAATTAAATTTCTTTGTAATAAGCATAATCAAGTTACAATGCATTGTCAATTTCGTTTAGTAGATTTTGTAAGTGTTTACTAAGTGATGATGGAACCCCGTTTATTATCTTTATACTTTAAAAGAAAAAAAGTTAAAAGTAAACTGAATATACGTATTACTGTAGTGTGTAGCCACAGTTTAAAGAATACGTGTAGCCGTCAAAATTTTTGTTTCACTGAAATTACTATTTTAGATCTCACTGAACGAAATAATGCAATAAAATTAATTATTGTGAAATAACTGAATACTATCATATTTATGATCGAAAAAAAAACGGCGTCAGCGATGGCAATGAAATGAAAATTGCTGTCATTTTATATGTAAAATTATATGGGGAATGTCATCGATCGTCATTTCCAAGCCAACTGGACGCCGCTTTTTTTCGATCATACGGTACCTTTTTGTGTAAACTTTTTCCTGTGGGGAGAAATATCATACAAAACGGCCTTATCGTACAGTCACTATCATATATACGATGATCGTAATTACTTTGATGTAATTACTTCGACAATGAAATCATACCACCGAAATAAATCTTTAGGTACTCGTACAATTCTTTGACCCGTCGATCGATTTAGATGAAAAAAATCTTTAGGCACTTCTGTAACGTAATCATAGCACAGAAATAAATTTTTAGGTACTCGTACAATTCTTTTGAAACGACGATAGATTTAGACGAAAAAAAATTTAGGTACTACTACAATGAAATCATAGTACCGAAATAATTTTTTAGGGTACTCGTACAATTTTTCGACACGATGATCGATTTAGATGAAAAAACTTTTAGGGGTATCTCTTTCATATAACCATAGCGTGAAAATGTCAAAAAAATTGACATATTATATTATAAATATATTTATTGGGGTGCATTCACACTATCTAAAAACGGCGTATCGAAAACTGTAACGTGACCTGAATAGATTTCCAGTATTCTATTGGCTGAAAAATTCATCTGTCACAAATTTTATCTATCAAATTGAGCTGTCAAAAATTTCAGCCAATAGAATTACTGGAAATCGATTCAAGGTCGTTACGCCGTTACGCCGATACGCCGTTTTTAGGATAGTGTGGATGCACCCTCAATAGAATGACATATAATATGTCAATTTTTTGACATTTTCGCATATGGTTATACATATAGAGAAGTACCTAAAGTTTTTTACTCGTACAATTTTTGACCCTTCGCGTCGCCTCGATCGATTTAGATGAAAAACATCTTTAGGTACTTTTACAACAAAATCATAGCATCAAAATAAATTTTTAGGAACTCGTACAATTTTTTGACACG